ATGTTGGGAAAAAAAATGAAATACCTTGATGAATGCTGTAAGAACTCTGCATTTTGATAGAAAACTCTGTTTAAAATGTTGATTTAGATTTACTTGCTAAGCTTGCCTGTTCTGCCTGATTTGTATCTACCACACATGGATGATTAACCTAGTTGAAATGCTAAGAATTGAAGTGCTGTAAACCTCCTTCCTGGACCCTGGACCCCAGACTCAGTTGCTTTACAATGTGTCCTGTAGGCCTGTTTGCACATACCAGATAACCGATAAGGAACAAAGAGAAGGAAGTTGCACCAGGCTTACACCAGATCTAGCCTTCCTGGAAAAGATGTTTAACCGAAACTATAGCTTTTAGAAGATGTTTGATCAAAGTGTCTGCTGAGGAATGCTTTTTGTGTAATGACTATGTGGGCCTATATAATCTGTATCTGAAACTGAATGGGGGTCGATCGTTCTGACCAGACTTGCATGTCTTGGGAAACCGGTCGACCCCAGCCGGCTGGAAAGTAAAGACTCTGCTTGATTTTTACATCTCCAATCCCGTGTATTTGTTATCTGGAGGGGACCCATCGAGTCACGGACCCTAACAAGTTCCAGTGAGGACAGGGAGACCCTGTCTCAAAAAAACCAAAAAAAAAGAAAACTTGAAAGCCGCTAATCATAAAAAGCTTCATGTTGTAGGTTTCCACATACAAACACCATTTATATAAAATAATTCCTTAGAAAGCCCACTGAGGGGGGCTGGAGAGATAGCATAGTGGTTAAGAACACTGACTGTTCTTGCAGAAGACCTGGGTTCGAATCCCAGCACCCACGTGGCAAACAACTGTCCGTAACGCCAGTTCCAGGGGATCCGACAGCTTCTGTCCTCTGCAGGCATTGCACGATATGGGTGCACTTACCTACATGTAGGCAATACATGTATACACATAAAATAAAAATAGAATAAAATATTTAAAAAAGGCCACTGAGACAGAAAGCAGATAAAGAGTTATCAGGGAAAACAAAAGTGAACAGTGATGGACTAGTTACTGGCATTTATTTTTTGTGATGAAACTGTGCTGGATCTAAAGAGTCACAATACTTATACAACGTTGTGAATGCCCCTCTAATAACTAATGGGAAAAAACTCTGTAATTACCACAACTGAAAATATAAACACAAAAAAATTAAGAATTCCCTCAAGCTACTGGGCTAGAGTCATGGTGCTTTTGCTGTTTAAAGATAGGATCTCTGTTTCTTCTATGCAGAACAAGAAAAACCAATTCAGAATTTCTAATATGTTGGTACTCTGGGTTTTAATTATGAAATACAAAGCAAGTTTCTATTATCAGCCGGGTGTCTGCACCCACTGATCAGGCAGTCTTCACAGGGTCCCTTCAGAGCACTTCCGCCTCTAAGATGAGGCTTTCCCAATGAGGACTTCTGAAATTTGAGTAAGCAACTGCAAATCAGAGACTCTTAACTAGCCAAGCCTGTTTAAACATCTCTCTTTGTCTGGGCTTCCCGATCCTGAGGCTATGTAGTTACAAGACTGAAAACTTCGAGCCATCTAGACCCAGCAATACTTGATTAGCTCTGTCACCTCTCCAGGATCTACCTTCTGAGAGGGCTGTCTATTAGAAGCTCACCCAAGACCCCGCTGAACTCAGATCCCACCTTGTGCTATTCCTAAGCTGTGTTACTCTCAGCTCCCCTCCAGCTTCTGAAACATTATTTTCCTGGGAACATTATTTTCCTTACTTTACCTCAAGAACACCTGGAAATGAACCTCCACATTCTCCTGCCCACTACAAGAGGACCACATTGGAACCGGAAACTTTTCTCATGTCAGCCATACTGTGCCGAGAATGGTTGGCCGCTGTCAGCCTGAAAACCAGGGCTGGGGAACTCTGCAATCTCTGGACACAAGCCCAGGCCCTTCTCCTGGCATCTCACTTGCTCTTGGTGGTTCGTAACAAGGAGAGTTCACACTGCGACCACACACATGGACAGAGGGGACGAGGCTGGAGGCGCCTCTAAATTCACACATTGCCTCTGTCTAAGCTTAAAGCAGAGACAACACAGGGCTTGCTGGGCAGGCATAGCTCTAACCATCCCAGCCTGAATTCTGGGTACCTGAAGAGGGAGAGCAAGAATCTGGAGACTGTTCTCCACAGCATACTTGCTTGTAGCCAAGATCCCTTTGCCTCCACTGCTTGGTGGGTATTCTACTTTGGACCACACAACACAAGAGGAAGCCAGGTTCTCACTGACTCCCTAGTGCCTTGACTTCTTGCTAGATATAGTACCTGAAACCCTCAGGGGAACCCAGTCCTGAAAAAGAATTCTCTTACGACAATGTCCTCTCTTGAGCTGAGCTGGGCAATACAAAGGCTCTGAGTTCTTGGAGCCCTTGGAGAAATGCTTTCCCCTTAGGAGGCCTGAACGAGGGTACTGGGGTACTTGGCTGTCATTGCTGCATTCAGGGGGTGAACATGGCCAGAGAGAGGAATGCTACGGGTTTGTTGCTTCTGAGCTATTAGGGGTTAAGTCACAGGGCCCGGCCTCAGCTGCAGCCCAGGAAGAATGGTGGTTTGCTTGCAGTTCCGAAGTTTATTAGGGAGTGGGTTTGGGCCAGTTGGTTTTTACAACATGCTCCCTACAGCCCTGCACTTTTGGCTGCAGGGGGGCGGCGGGGGTACACTGCTCTACTGGTCAGTGATGTTACCACAAGAAGATGGGCCTTTTTCCTGTATCCAGGTGCCAGGACTCTGAGCCAGTGCCATCAGAGAGACTCAACTTTGGTTGTTAGTGCCTGGGCTGGGGAGACGAGGGTTTTTAAGATCTCAGCGTAGTAAGGGCCAAACACCTGCTGATTGTGACGTGTCAGACTGACAAACTTCTGGCCCAGTTCTGCCAGCTCTGCCTCAATGAGAGTAAGGCCTCCAGGAAGGTCTAACAGAGAGCGCTGCACACCGAAAACCAAGCAACATTTAAGAAACAAATGGATCCGCTGATCTGTGAGCAGGAAAACAGTGAGAAGGAAAGGGCAGACAGATTTCAGTGAGAAACTGGCCCTACACTCTACTCACCTGCATTCTAAGTAAAGGGATATTTAGCAACTTGCATACTCACTTAGATATAAGAAAGTCTGATTTGTCTGAAAAGGACTGGGATCTAGCTCTCAAGGACAAAGCAAAGACTGAAAACAAGAACCACTGTTAGGTTACTGAACTTCTCAGTATTTAAGTTTACTCAGGTCTCAGGGTGTGGTGGCTCACACTTAGAATCTCAGCACTCAGGAGTCTGAGGCCAGTGTGGACTACACACTGTGTCCCAGGCCAATCTAGGCTATAGAGTTAGAGCCTAGGATTTGACGTAACAGAAGAATCTTCAACTGATTGTTCTAATGGTTTAGGGTTAGGGACAACCTGGCCAAGTCCAAGTCCTCAATTCCAACATGGGGATGGGCAGTTCTAGAGTGCAGAGACATGTTTTCTAAACTAATCCATCAGGTTTCTTGCTGGTAGGTGGGTGTGGATGTGAAATCCCTTGGACTACAATTAGATAATAATCAGTAGACCAGGGTGAGCTAACCACGTTGGTTGGACAATACCCACACCTGGAATTCATGAACTCCAGCCAGCCTTTGAAAGGGATGCATTTTCAACCTGGAACTTGCTAATGACTGCATCTTTGATTGGCAAGTGGTTGGTAATGGTTCTTGGGCTGGGACTCCTCCTCCCCTATGTTCTTCCCGTCAAGTAGGGCTGCTCACCGATGACGGTGCGGACACAGTCCTCCTTCTTGGCAATGTTCTGCAGCTGTCCTATCAGGGATGCTGTGTTGTCACTGCTCAGGGTGGCAAGGCCCATATTCTTGAGACTTTGATGGATTTCTTGAGACACCTGTTCACTCACCATTAGCATAGCCCCTTCAGGCCTAGACCACAAGAGAGAATAAGAGTGCATCCAGTAGGTGACCTTGGCAGAAGCTTCCTATCACAAAGTAGGACATTAGGCACTCTGGAGGCCAAATCTAGCTGGAGGATAGGGAGAATCTGGATCCCCAGGATTCGTTTGGCATTCTTTTGTCCAGTGTGCTTTGTCTACGCAATGAAACATTTTCCACAGCCATTGGTCCCACCTCAAAATTATCACAAACCTGTCCTTTTGCTTTTTTCCCTGAGGTACTAAGGATCGAGTTGAGAGCCTCACACAAGCTAGTCAAGTGTTGGACCTCTGAGCTACTTCTTCAGCCCGTTTCCTTTGAAAAGGAAAAATCACAGCAGGCTGTAACAGTCACTCAGTTCTTCTGGGAAAGCACTGAGTCATCATCACCCCCCCAAGCAGATAAGGACTCTCGCAGAAAACTGTCCTGCACACTACCAGTTTGGGAAGGATGTGTTCTTTTCATAAGCTTCAACATCACTTACAGAAGGAAACTGACACTTCTCATGGCTTCTTCCAAAGGGTCGGTCGGTCTCTCTCTCTCTCTCTCTCTCTCTCTCTCTCTCTCTCTCTGTAGAATTCATGACCTGCCAATATCCTACTCGTTATATGTGCACACGTGCATGCATGCACCATGAAGGCCAGAGGCTGACATCGGGTGGCATCCTCAGAAGCACTCCACCATATTTTTTATTTTGAGACAGGGTTTCTCACTGAACCTGGACCTCATCCATTGCCTAGCCTGGGTGACCAGCAAGCCCCAGGATGCCCCAGGAATCCAACCATCTCTACCTTCTCTGACCCTCATCTCCCAAGTGCTGGGGTTACAGAATGTGTCAGCACACCTGGAACAGAGACGCAGGCCCTCGGCTGGCTCAGCAAAGCACTTTACCAACTGAGCCATCGCCCCAGCCTCTTCCTCCCAGTCTTTTGAGAAGTCTTTGCACAGCTTACCTTGTGTTAAAGTCCTCCATCTGGGACCTGGCTATGCATTTTAGTTTATCCACAAACTGGGGTGAGCCAAACAAAACACTTCCAGAGAAGCTACTGGCCACAAGCAAGACCGAGGCAAGGATGGTCAGCTGATTCAGCTGGAGCTCCAGCTCCTGCAGCCAGTCTCTGTCCATTAGTAGGGTCTGAGGAATGGGGAGAAGCAGGCTGTCAGGAGGATCCTCACAGCAGCTCTCAATTCTAAACAAAGCAAATGCCACTACCATTATACCTCAGGGAACTCTTCATTCTCAGGGTCCCAGAGGAGGAGGTTCAGGAATCCCTGGGACAACACCATCGCAGGGCTGAGAGGCTCTGGGTTTACTGCTGCCTCATTTGGAGAGGGACCGGCCACACTCGAAGAGTCAGGCATGTCAGGGCCACTTGGAGGAGGCATAGTGAGGTCCGCTGCGGCTTGGGTCAGCCACTTGGTGGTGTGATTGAGGAGACCTAGAGCAGGAGTGTGTAAGCACCTTCATCTCTAGGGCTTCAGGCTACAGTTCTTAGATAGCACTGCTCAGGCTGAGCATGGTGGCACAAGCCCACGATCCCAGCACTTGGTAACTAAGACAGGAAGAGCTGAGTTTGGCCCAGTCTCGGCTGAACAAAATGAGTTTCAGGACAGTCGGGGCTTAAAAGTGAGAGGTTATTTAAAATAAATCATTCAAGGCCAGCTTGGTCTACAAAGCGAGTTCCAGGGCAGCTGGGGCTACAAGGAGACCTTATCTCAAAAAGACCCCCTCCCCCCCAAAAAACCAAATAAATCAAATTTTTAAATGAAAATTATGTATTCCTGGTTAATAAATGTTCTCCGTCCCAGTACTTGAAGAAATTTCCTAAAGAGGCAAAATACTCCCTCAGGAACATGGGACCGTCATACGTACTAGGCTGCTTATTGAGAAGTTCCTGGAATTTAGCCCGCTCATACTGGATAGAATGTTCCTGCAGCTGGGGCTGGAGGCTCTGGATGGTGTAGTTCACCATGTCCATCTTCATCAGACCCAGAACCCGGAAGATCCCTCTAACAAGGGGAAGGCAGAACATTCCATCATGACACAAATCCAATGAGAGGGAGTCCTACATGGAGGATGATGGACTTGGGATCTTAAAACTTGTCTTATCTCCCACACTGGCAAGGTGACATGCAGCCCATGAGCAAGGATTAGGACAAGTTAGCCACACAATCGGAACAGTTAAGTCTCTTTCACTAGGCTCTTCTCTGCTATCTCTTAAACAGGGCAGTCGGAAGTGGGATGGGGGTGCACACCTGCACCACCATCACCTGGAAGGCTGGCATGAGAGAACTGCTGTGAGTTCAAGGCCAACGGGGCTACATAGCAAGACCCTATCTTAAAGAAACCGAAAGAAAAGGGCAGTCAGTGCAAGTAAATATGCCAGGACGTTAATCCTCTTTGGAAGTGAGGTTTAAGTGAGGCTGATTAGACTGCTTTTTATGTTGTTCCTCTATAGTTTAGGTCTCTGCTACTCAGTTCCTAAACACAGCCATGAAATGGGGGTAACTTTCCATGGATGTCCCCTTACAGTGTATGAACTGAGACCAAAGACGACTTGGGAAAAGGATGTTTTCATTCCTTAGAATTTTGTCTATGAGCCAGGCGTGGTGGTGCACACCTATAGTCCCAGCACTCAGGAGGCAGAGGCAGGTGGCTCTCTGTGAGTTCGAGGCCAGCCTGGTCTACATAGTGATTTCCAGGCTAGCTGGGTCCCCTGTCTCAAAAAAAATTTTTTTTTTTTTTTGTCTAATGAGAACATCTTAGCATCTAAGACAAAGGGCCCAATCAAACTAAGAATAACCCAAAGGGATAGAAAGTCAGGTCTTCGGTGGGGAGGAGGCCATCTGCACCTAGCATCTGAGCCAACTCTTCCTGGCTCAGGGGCAGGCATCAAGTTTCTGACCTCAGCAGCCGAACCGGATCGGTAATGTTCTCAAGCTTCTGCACGGCCTCATCTCGAACAGGTGAACACAACAAGACCATCATGTTGAGAATGTACTTAGAAAGGTAGGGTACATTCAGGTCCCCACGTTCAGCTTGCTGGTTGAGGAAGTCCATGTCCAGAGCTTCTTCCATTTCACTTCTTAGGCGGTTCTGGCGTGGTAAGAGGAGCGGCAACAGGATCTGCCAGGAAAGCCAAAGCAGTTACACCCTGCGAGTAGTCCCAAAGCCGCGCTGACATTCAGTTCTCTGGCTAAACACACCCAGTCCATCTATTTCGGACTAAGAAGTTGGGCTTTTTTTAGCAACCAATGATAATTCAAAGTTCAAAGAGGGTAAATTACAGAAACAGTAAGATAAGGAGATCGATAAAGGAATGTGCAAACTACATAAAGTACTGCCGCGTGGTTGATGAGCCACTGCTGATTTCAAGACAGGCAGGCAATTTTAAACTTACTTATTCCAAAGGCAGCGGGGCCTGATGTCCCACACCTTTAATCCCAGCACTTGGGAGTCAGAGGCAGGCAGATCTCTGAGTTCAAGGCCAGCCTGGTTCACACAGTGAGTTCCTGGCCACTTGGAGCTACAGGGAGACCCTGTCTCAAACCAAGACCAAAAGAAAATTTTTTTTTTATTCCAAAGGAAAAGGATCAACAGGACCTGTCATGCATCACCCATCCCAAAGCCTAAGTTCCCCTTTCATATTATCTCTGTGCCTTTGTAACACAGAGACCATGGTGGAACCAGAGGATGGGGTTCAATTCCATGTCTGAGTGAAATAGTACATTGCTGTGGCAGAATTCCAACTGTATCTTCGTGCTATATCAGCATGTTGAACCCTGTTTCATGCTATTTTCACTAGTGGACTATGCCAGCAACCAGTTTGGAGCCTCTGCTACCGTTCAGTGCCTATTCTGGGAAAAAGAAGTTGACCCCTTGACATAGCTCTCTGCCGGCATCACACTTTTGTCTGTAGAGGAAGGGGCCTTTCTTCCTGGCCCAATCGTATCCCTCTCAGCAAGTTCCTGCATCATAGAAATTTTAGTTTTGTTGTTGTTTTTTGTCTTTTTGAGACAGGGTCTCCCTGTAGCCCCAGCTGGCCTAGAACTCACTATGTAGACCAGGCTGGTCTCAAACTCACAGAGACCCACCTGCCTCTGCCTCCTGAGTGCTGGGACTAAAGGTGTGCACCACCATGCCTGGCCTAGTTTAATAATTTTTATTAGCATTGCTTTCTTTAAAAACTGATATGATTTCACTGAAAAATTTTGTATGAGTTGGAGAACTTGGAAAGGGAGTAAATGCCAAGCTCACATACAGCAACCATGATGGTCTTCACAGTAGTGCTGAAGTTTGGTACTACAGCTTTGTCAGTAAATACTCCTTAAGAATTATAGTAGGCATATAGGGCTGCAAATTTACATTCTAAAATACAACTACACACTTTTGAGAATTGTATCTGTTTAGTTATTCATAATACCTTTTTTTAACTTCCCAGACTGTGGGTTTTTTGGGTTTTATTATTTTGGGGGGGTCTTTTTGAGACAGGGTCTCCCTGTAGCCTCAGCTGTCCTGGAACTCACTATAGACCAGGCTGGCCTTGAACTCACAGAGATTCGCCTGCCTGTGCCTCCTGAGTGCTGGGATTAAAGGCGTGTGTATGTGTGTATTGCCTGTATGTAGGTAAGTGCACCCGTGTCATGCAATGCCTGCGGAGGACAGAGAGGCTGTCAGATCCCCTGGAACTGGAGTTACGGACAGTTGTTAGCTGCCATGTGGGTGCTGGGATTCGAACCCGGGTCTTCTGCAAGAATAGCCAGTATTCTTAACCTCTGAGCCATCTCTCCAGCCCCCAGACTGTGATTTTTATCTCTAGAAGTTCAATGAGGTGTTTTACGTTTTCTGAAGGGCACAGGTGAAGGCACACTGGGGCTGTGGAAGAGGAACAGAAAAATGATGGAAAACCTCTTGGTGTCTGGGAATGGGAGAAGACCAACATCAAGGTCTGGATGTCCATGTGTGGAGTCAAGACCATAGCGGGGCCTCAGGGGAGGTGGGAAGTCATTCCTAGACAATCAGTCCTCCCAAGACTAGAATCTGCAAATTACAGAGACCTCCCCTGTCCGCAGGATAAACCCAACGCAGAGGCAAAGCCACTGCCATGCACAACCTGGGACCTCAGGGGAGGGAACTGTGGGAAATGCAGCCACTCAGAGAAGCTGAAACTGCTGCCCCAAATTGGAACGACCTCCATCCTCCAGTCTGCTCCACCATCAGCCCACCACCAGAGGAGTGTGGAACCATGGTTCGAGGTTGGTGACCACAGCTCCAGCTCATGGAAGGAGACCATGGGTCCAGGTTCATAGGGTAGGACCACAGCTCCAGCTCACAGGAGGGGGACTAGCATCTTTTTGTTCAAAATACTATATATTTTCTGTCTCTTGACTCTACTATGCACATTGGTACTTTGAGTGCTGAGGTCTGAACTCAAATGGTCACAGGCTCACTGGATCTAATGGGCAGGAAGTAGCAAGCACTTTAGAGGCCTTACAAAAACACTCTCAAGAAAGGCAGATAAACCTCCAAATTCACAGGTCTGCTCCCCACCCCCCAACCCCCATACCTCAGGCCACCAACCATGAAAAGGCACAATGTTTGCTAAGCCTTTGTGGACCTTGAAGGCAACATACACAAATTTGAGCTTGACACTGTTACATTCACCTACAGCTTTTATATCTGGTCCTCCATGATTCTTTAGAGTTCTCTTTATTCTTATTCGTCAAGCCCTCATTTTTCCAATTCCCCATTATATTGAACTTTCCGTGTTCAAATTACTGTGTCTTAGTTTGTTCTTCATTGCTGTGACAAAACACTCTGACCAATACCAACCTGGTCGCAGTTCATCAGGGAGCCCAAGGTACGAACTCAGGGCAGGAACCTGGAGGCAGGAGCTGGAGTGCAGGCCATGGAGGATCGCTGCTTACTGGCTTGCTCCCCTGACCCCTGCTCAGCCTGCTTTCTTATGCAACACAGGCATCACCCACAGTGGGCTGGGCCCTCCCACATCACTCATCAAGAGGATGCCCCTCAGACATGGCCACAGGCCAGTCCAATAGAGACAATTCCCCAACTGAGGCTCCCTCAACCCAGGTGTGTCAAGTTGACACTAAAGCTATCCAGCACACTGCGTGATTTCTGACTGAGATCATGTTCAATTGGGATTTGCCAGCCAATGGCCCTCAAATAGTGGGGGTGTCTAAGAACTTAATATCTTTAAATGGAAGATCACCCACTTACCTCTTTAATTTCCTTCAGGAGTTCAAGAGCACAAATGAAGTCGGGGAATCACTGGCAGTTGCTCTTTAAGATGGTCCCAAAAATCGCTGTGCATTGTGTCTTTGGTCTCGTCTTCCAGCCTAGGAGAGGGTTAGATGAACAAATTACACAAAGACCATGGTAGGGCCCTAACCTCCTGAACCCCAAACTGCACTTGCTGTGGAAAAAGATGACTGTGCTGACAAAATGCCAGGAACAATGTGTGGCCTGCTGTGTGGATGTCTGAGCCATCTCTCTAGCCCTTCATTCAACATTTGAAACATCGGTTATATACTGTGGGGTCAGACTCTGTCACAGAGAAGAACTGGGCCCTTTTTGTTGACCAAGGCTGGCTGTAGGGTGTGGTTTCCATTGCATCACATCTATTTGCTGAATGTATTTCTCAGATGTGATGGTTTTCTGGGACCTGACAGGCAGATGATCAACTGCAACTATGGTCTCTTTTTGGTGTGCAAGTCTGGCTTTGGACTGCTTCTCAATCACCAAGTTCGACATTACCAGTTGTCATCTACAGTCCACTTTTCATCACACATCTCTATCTCATTAAGAAATGGCTGGTTGAGGCTAGAGACATGGCTCAGCAGGTAAGAGTGCACACTGTTCTCCCAGACAGCCTGAGCTTGGTTCCCAGAACCATGTCAGGCAGCTCATAACTGCCCATGACTCCAGCCCCACATTCATACACACACATGCACGCACACATACACATACCCCAACACACATAATTAAATATAAAATATTTAAAGAAATGCTTTGTTGTGGAGAACAAGGTGGTCTGAGACAATGATTTGATTATTTGGGGGAGCAGCTCATGAGCTCCCCACATATGAAATTTTTGCTTTCTTAATTTGCTTCAAACACCATGTAACAATTCAGGTGTTTGGCAACATGTGTAACTGTGTAACATTAACTCAATGATGGCACTCAATTGCTCATCGTCAACTTCCGGTGGCCAGTCACTGCTCTCCTCCGTCCTCCAGGCTCTCATTGACTTCACAGTGCTCTGCACTTTCATTAGCAATTTCTGGACCACACACTTTCCTGACGCTCAGTGTTGTTCTACCACTTTATGGCCCATTTGAACTCCACTAAGAAAATAACTCAAATTTGTTCTCTGTTGAACATCATGTCCATAGTATATAATAAACAGCAAGTATAAGTCTTTAGCAAAGAGCATAAGAGAACTCTGCATTAAAATGATGTATAGGGGCTGGAGAGATGGTTCAGTGGTGAAGAACACTTCCTGCCCTTCCAGAAGACCAGAGTTTGATTCCCAGCACCCATGTCAGGCCACTCACAACTACCTATAACTCCAGCTTCCAGAGATCAGACATCCTTTCCTAGCCTCTGTGGGCACTGCACTCAGCAACACACATACACACACACAATTTAAAAATAAAATCTTTTTTTAATGTTATATAAATATACATTTAAGAATGTACTCCAGGGGCTAGAGAGATAGCTCAGTGGTTAAGAGCACTGGCTGCTCTTGCAGTGGACCCGGGTTCAATTCCCAGCACCCACATGGCAGCTAACTCCAGTTACAGGGGATCCAACAGCCTCGTCCATCCTCTGAGGGCACCGCATGACACAGGTGCACTTACTTACATGCAGGCAATACACACGTACACATAAAATAAAAATAATAAAATATTTTTTAAAAAGGATATCTTCTGCCGGGCATGGTGGTGCATGCCTTTAATCCCAGCACTTGGGAGGCAGAGGCAGGTGGATCTCTGTGAGTTCAAGGCCAGCCTGGTCTACATAGTGAGTTCCAGGACAGCTGGAGCTACAGGGAGACCCTGTCTCAAAAAGACAAAAAAACAGGATATATTCCAATATCAAAAAGCAAATTTCAGCAATGCAAAAAGCAAAGTTACTTTTGCCTGTCCTAAATACACAGCTTATACCCAGCATAGAAGTTATCTCAAAAGGGATCACAGGTTTAAATACAAAACTTAAAACTGCAAGAAGGGGGCACCATTCTTGATACTGCCTAGCCTGTTGCCTCTTGTTGCAGCAAACTCAATACACCTGTTAACATTATTATTCTGTACATGCATGATATGTGTGTGGAGGTCTCTCCTTCTATGTGGGTTCTGAGGATTGAACCCCAGCTTGCTTGTCAAGTGCCTTTTACTCAATGTGTCCCTCTGAGCCATCTCAAGGTGCCCAAGTACGTTTTCTTTAGGAAAGAAAAAAGAACTCCAAGAAGATTATATAGGGGAAAAATGGAAGCAGTCCCTGTGGTGAGCTTTTTAAACAGGCGACATTAAAAGCACAAGGCAAGAAATCAGAAATTAAGTTGGCCTTCATTGAAATTACAAATGTCTGCACTGTGAAGGCACTGTAAAGAGAACAGAAAGAAAAGCCAGACTCGGAGACGACCTTTGATAAAGGCTACATATCCAAAATATACAAAAAGGAACCATTTCTCAGCCTTTTGGCTGGGATCAAATGCAAATAAACCCAAAATTCTTTTTTTTTAATATTTATTATTTTTATTTTATGTGTATGCGTGTATTGCCTGCATGTAGGTAAGTGCACCCATGTTGTGCAGTGCCTGCGGAGGACAGACGAGGCTGTCGGATCCCCTGGAACTGGGGTTAAGGACAGTTGTTAGCTGCCACGTGGGTGCTGGGATTTGAACCTGGGTCTTCTGCAAGAACAATCAGTGTTCTTAACCGTTGAGCCACCTCTCCAGCCCTGACACCCACAATTCTTAAAATGCAACAATAATAATCAGGGAAATGCAAATTAAAACCACTTTAAGATTTCACCTCACCCCAGTCAGACTGGCTAAGATCAAGAGAACAAATGATGCCAAATGTTGGAGGGGATGTGGGGAAAGGG